CCTGTTCGGAAACTGATGGATGTTTTATCAGTCAAGTAATCATCTCTATCCTTACCTAGATTTATTTAAATATTACCATGAATTTCATGCATCAAATGAAAAGTATTCCATTTTCTCGTAAAAATACTTCAAAAGATAGGTTCTCAGCACAACGAACCAAACCAATAGTACTTATTGTTCATTCTACGGTTCATACGACTACGACAATTTGTAATAAAAGACTCATTCAGACAGAAATTATTATAAGAAATCAGTAGATACTTGAAATATAACCATCATTTCATGATCCACAAATTTCATTAATAAAATCCAAGCGAAAATATAGAAATTTCAGGGATAGGTCTATGAGGAAGTTATCTAATCATTGCTCACATTCATGAATAATTTAGATTCAAATCACTCATCAGAAATAATAATAAACCTTCCAAAAGGTTTCTCAATCATAGATGATCCTACTACATATACAATGAAGTACGCTTGGAAAAGAATTGTTATATTGCATAAACACCCCTTAGTTGACTTCTCTTTGGGCAGGGAACACGGTTATGTTAGCATTCCTAAATACATTACACACAGGAGTCTATGGAGACGATATCATAGACATTGTTTTCTTCTTATTGCTTCATATACTTCTCCTTATTCATACTACTGTTACGATCTCCTCAGGAAAATCTTTCTTCTTACAAAAGCATTATTGCATATACAAAGTGCTACACTTCCTCTCCATATGTACACACTCTCAATCTTTTATAATGTAAGAGAAGAAACAATAGCGTCACAAGGCTTAATATCTGCCGTTAATAGTTACCTGAAGTACATATACCGGATATAGCGCTGAAGTCTTTAGATATGATTTCTGCAGAGCTCATGTATTGGCAACTTAGTCATGAAGTCTCCTCTTTTCTTATTTATATATTCTTATCGTAGATAATTACGAAATAATTGAAAATTAGTATTTCCTTCTATAAATATCCTCCCCTCATTAAAGGCCTCCTCAGGAAATTCATTAGCTTCTACCGAAATTTACATGTAAGGATCACTCTAAGAAGCGATTAGCTTCTTCCACATTTCTCCTATTCTTCTATACTTTCCTCA